AGCACGATGAGGCTGCGGCCACGATCGTATCCGGGCAGCTTGACCTTCTTGCCTCCCTTGCCGACGCCGGTGCACAGCACGAGCGAATCGGCGGCACCGCGCTGTGTGACGGGGATGCCGAGCATGGCGGGCGCAGCGATGCTGCTGCTGATGCCGGGTACGACGGTGCACTCGATACCCGCACGTCGAAAAGCGAGCACCTCCTCGCCACCGCGCCCGTACACAAACGGATCGCCCTGCTTGAGGCGCACCACCGTCTTGCCCTCCTCGAGCGCCGTGCGCAGCGCCTTGGCAATGAGCTCCGACTGCGCACCCTCCGCATTGCCCGGGAACTTCTTGGCGATCTCCAGCGGCGTGCTCTGCGGAATCAGCCGCAGGATCGCGGCGGGCACGAGCTTATCCGACAGGATGAGGTCGGTCGAGGCAGAAGTGAGCAGCTTGTATGCCATAGTGGTGAGCAGGCCTGGATGGCCGGGCCCAGATCCGAGAAGGTAGATGTGGCCCTTGCGCGCCGTCTTGGGAGGCGGTGGGCGGATGTCGAGCGAGTGCTGCGACCGCGCTCGCTGCGCCAGCGAAGCTGATGGCTCAGCGGAAGCACCTTGATCTGCACGTGGAGCAGTGGATCGACCGCGCGAAGATGGCTCGTTGGTGTATTGGCCTTCGCTGTGCTGAGTTGCATCGGCACCAACAGCGGTGGTGGCAGGCGGCACTGGGGCTGACTGCTCTTCGCCATGCGCGCGAAGGGCGTCCTTCATCTGCTGTTCGGCGAGGTTGCCGAGGTACTCGATCGGCCAGTATTCGCTGATCTGCGCCACCCAGCGCATCCTGCGCTTGGTCCTCTCTTCCGCCTGCTGCGCCTCTTGCTCGTGGCGCGCCTGGATCTCGACCTGCAGCTGCTTGAGACGCGCATTGGTGGTGACGCTCTCTAACGGGTTCTTGGGCACGAGCTGCGGGACGGGACTGTTGAGCGGCGTCGTGTCGAAGGAGAGATCCTCCTCTTCGACATCGGCTGTGCCGTCTTTGCCTGCGCGTGCTGCATTGCGCTTGAGGCGTTTGAGCGGAGATGAGGCGGAGGCGCCGACGGTTGCGCTGCCAGATGGATCCTGAGGCTTCTCCGCCTGCCGCTTGGCCAGATCACGCATGATGCCCACCTTCTCCACTGCATCTCCGACATTGTGCGGCAGCGCCGACACGATCTCTCGCCTCAGGCGACCTGCGAGTCGGCAGCCACGCCCGTTGGTGGTGACGGCAATCTGCAGCGAGGACGAGGTGATCGCGTCGGTGGACCTGATCTGAAGCATGGCATCCTCAGTGCTATCAATTGGCGAGATGGGGTTGGTGCAGGGGAAGCGGTAGCTGGCGGGGAAGGAAAAGTCGCAAAGGTTGGGCTTGTCGGCCACATTGATGGGGATGCGTCGCTTTCGGCACAGCCGGCTGATGATTTCGGCTTGAGCATAGGATGTGAGTGATGCGGCAGTGTCCGGTAGCTCGTCATCGCGATCGAGACTTGGCTTGTTGCTGGAGGCAGTGCTCGCTGATGCTCTCGGTTCATCACCAGAGTGCAGGGTGTCGGTGATGCAGACGGCAAAGATGTCGTTGTCTTCGCCGTCGTAAGTATCGAGGATGTGGTTCCAACATTGCTCTACCGAGGCTGCTGTCGACAAGGCGCTGCTATCGATGGAATGATGCAACACCTGTGCAGAGTCAATGCGGTGCTGGATCTCGGCACACGCTTGGTTCGCTGTTGCTGCAGCGACGCTGAGCACCACAGGCCTGATGCCCGCTTCGAGGCACGCAAAGCATCGAGATGCAGCGAGCTTGCCTGTGCCCAGTACGAGCACCAGCTTGCCGGCTGGCGGCCTGTGCGAGAGCAAGAGGCTTGCGGTCGGGTTGGGCCGAGCAAAGTGCGCCGATGTGGAGGCGGCCGTGGCAGCTTGGTCTGTGGCTGGCAGCGACATGCTGAGTGCTTGCAGACGGACGGTGTGGTGTCCCGGCGCTCGATCCGAGGTCGACGCAGATCTGTCGTGAGAGTAGAGTGAGAGGATGTTGGCAAGGAAAGAGGTGGTGTGTGGTTGAGAGTGTGACTCAGTCGATATGAAATCTCCGAAGCGAGCCTTAAGATTTCGGCGAACGGCCGATTAGATAGCCTTGCGCCCGCGCCCCGGAATCAACGCCGGATTTCTAATCAAACCCGAGCTTTTGCGCAGGCGCAGACCGCAGCCTCACTAGACATGGTCTCACTGCGCCCCCACTGCATGGAAAGCGACGCCAGCACGGTCGCGGCATGGATCTATGGCGAATGATTACAGTGCGTATGTGGTACAAGGTGCAGATGACAGGATTACTGGTACAATGAGTGGTGGACGAGAGCAGAATCTAGAGAGTGCTGATGGAAGCGCTGCAAGCTTGCCGTGGGCACCGCGGCCTGGCGACGAGCTTGGCAGCAACAAGGATATGGTAGGAGGTGATCTCAGCTCAGATCTTGTAGCCAAGCTTGGCCATGCATTCGCGATGCTTCTTGACGAGGTCCTCGCACTTGCGCGCCGACTCTCCGTGCTCTTCGACGCTGTGGCCGAATTTGAAGAAGCATTCGTCTCGCGCCGACTTGGTCTCGGGGCACGCGCAGCAGCTGTGTTCGCAGAATGATGTAAATCGTCAGCCTTCCATACTGTCAAGCGCATCATCATGAACGCTCGTCTACTCACGGCTTGATGCCTTCCGGGTTGAGCTCGGTGACAAACTTGTTGTTCTTCTGTACGTCGGCCATGATGGGTAGGTGCACTAGCGCTGCAGAACGCTCGAAGTGATTACAGAGTATTGTACAGATGTCGTGAGACGGGTATAGCTGGTTGAGGAGATGCAAGAGGGATCTCGGCGCCGGTGGAGAAGAGGTTGCGCTTCCAGATCATGCAGCCATCACGTCGTTGCGCTCAGCTGTGGCGGAATTTCTGGAGCCGCCTCGCAGCTGACCAACTGCCCGCCCGCCGTAATCTCCGTGGCCGCCCAAAAACAAAATCTCGCTCCTGCTTCGCCCGACACCCGATTCCACATTTCTTCCAGGGTCCGACTCCCGACGATCTGGCTGTGATCCCAGATCGAGCCCGATCACAATCCCCACCCTGCAATTTTGCGTGGCGCCGCACCGAACTCAGCTCAAAACGCCGACGGGGTCCACTCGCTAAGCAACCAAAAGCAACCTTGCTGGTCACCATCCTAAGCTTCGACCACATAGACCGCCTCCTGTCAGATTCGTCTCGGTGCGATCCTTTGCGACATCGCCATCACTCGTGGATTGATGCCTCTGGCAACGCGCGCTCTTCTCTCTGGCCAGTCAGCTCGTCTCCTTAGAAGCTCCTCTGCCACCGCACCGCGAACCCTGGCCTCCAAGTCGTACGCAACTCTCGGCACATCTCGTCTCTCCAACATTCGTTTACCCAGCACCGGTCGCGCCCTGACCTTGACCACAGCTGCCCTTGCTGCCTACCTTTCTTGCACTCCGACCCGCAGGACGTTCACAACCTCTGTGACTCGCCACGCAAGCATCATGCCGGCCGACGGTGCTTCCTCGTCGACAGCCCCCAACGGGCTGCCTTCTCAACACGGCAACTTCGACCTCGTCACCCGATACGACCTCGACTATGCTCCCGGCATGTCGGTCGAAAAGTGGCGGTCCAGAGAAACCGGTCTGACCGTGCTCTGGGCCAACTTTGATTCGCCGCTCCTCAACTGCTACATGACCCTCGCCTCCGAGATCTTCGAGGACTCCGGTGTGCCGCACACCCTCGAGCATCTCATCTTCCTCGGCTCCGACCTGTACCCTTTCAAAGGCGTCTTAGACACCCTCGCCAACAGGGCTTTCGCCAGCGGCACCAACGCCTGGACCGCAAACGACCACACCGCATACACCCTCACCACCGCAGGCTCCGACGGCTTCCTCCGCATGCTTCCCGTATACCTCGACCACGTCTTCTTCCCCACCCTCACCAACGAAGGATTCGTCACCGAAGTCTACCACGTCAACGGCAAGGGTCAGGATGCCGGCGTCGTCTTCTCCGAGATGCAGGGTCGCGAGAACTCGCCGGCTGATCTGATGGAACTCAAGTCCCAGCGAATGCTTTACCCGGCCACTTCCGCCTACCGCTCCGAAACCGGTGGTCTCATGTCCGCTCTGCGCGTCCTCAACATTGACAAGATTCGCGACTACCACCACCGATACTACGCACCGCACAACGCCGCCCTCGTTGTGTGTGGACCTCTTGCACGTGCCGACCTGCTCGACTCGCTCGCCGCCGTCGAAAAGCGTCTGGTCACCAAACGCGATGCCCAGCCCGAGGGACCCCGCGGCTGGAAGCGTCCTTTTGTCGAGACCGCCTCGGCAGTTCCCCCACAGATCGACGGATCAAAGAAGGAGCAGCCCGGCCTCGATCCCGCCGACCCTCCTGCCGAGGGCGCTCAACCCGACCCCAAGCGTCGACGCGCCTTCGTCGATTTCCCCGAGAAGGACGAGAGCGTCGGCGAGATCCAGATCTCGTGGGTGGGCCCCAAGTTCCAGGACTGGATGACGTGCGAGGCCGTCAACATTCTTAGCACCTACTTGACCGATTCGCCCGTGTCGGTGATTCAGAAGGCCTTTGTCGAGCGCGACGACCCCTTGTGTACAGACGCCTACATCGGCTCCACCGACAAGGCAGGCGCCACGCTGCTCTCGGCCTACTTCTCCTCGGTACCTTCCGAGCAGCTCGACCGTCTCGATCAGCAGCTCGTCGACCTTCTCGCCGGCGTCGTCAAGGACGGTATCGACATGGACAGGATGCACATGATCATCAAGCGCGACAAGCTCAAGGTGCTCTCCCAGCTAGAGACCAAGCCCGCCGACTCGTTTGCCGACTTGCTCATCACCGACTTCCTCTACGGCAAGCGCACTGGCGAGGATCTCCACAATGCGCTCGACGACATGAAGCGCTACGATGAGCTGCTCACGTGGACCAGCCAGCAGTGGACCGAGCTGCTGCAGAAGTACCTTGTCGAGAACCCCAGGCTCGTCGTTGTCGGCCGTCCCTCGTCGGCGCTGTCGGACAAGCTCAAGGCCGACACCAAGGCGCTCGAGGAAGAGAGGCGCAAGAAGCTGGGCGAGGACGGCCTCAAGCATCTTGAAGCACAGCTCGAGGCGGCCAAGAAGGAGAACGACCGTCCTATCCCAGACGAGATGCTCAAGCAATTCAAGATCCCCAGCACCGACAGCATCAAGTGGATCCCGGTCGGAACTGCACAGGTGCAACCCGTCGCCTCGGCCAGCGATGAGCCGAGCAAGACGACAGCCTATGGCCTGCAAGTGGAGAACACGCGCGACGAGCTGGACCAGAAGATTCAGGCTCACGTCGATGCGGACTCCGCCTCGCTCCCCTACTTTGTCCAGTTCGACCACGTCAGCTCGGCCTTTGTCTCGATCTCGCTCGTCTTCGCCACAACCGATCTGCCCAAGGAGCTGCGGGCGCAGATGCAGCTCTACCTCTCCGTGCTCTTTTCGCTGCCGTTGGTGCGACAGGATGCGACCAAGGGGTCGTTGACGTACGAGGAGGTGGTCAAGGGCCTGGACGAGGACACGCTCGAGTACGACGTCTCGCTCGGCAGCGGCGGGTTCGGCGAGCTTGTCTGCGCCGAACTCAAGCTGGAGCGTGCCAACTACGAAAAGGGCATTGCATGGCTTCGTGATCTGCTGTGGGGCAGCGAGTTTGCGGTCGACCGTCTCAAGGTGTCGATCAGCAAGATCATCCAGAGCCTGCCGGAGCAGAAGCGCAACGGGCGCGCCATCGCGTCGGCGCTCAGCCGATCGCTCACGCTCGATGGCGAAAAGTCGACCAACCTGGCCAGCAGCATCCTCAACCTGGTCCAGACCATGCCTGCTCTGCAGGAGGCGCTCAACACCGACCCCGACAAGGTGGTGGCCGACTTTGAGCGCATCCGGGCCACGTTGCTGCGTCCAGAGAATCTGCGTGTTTCGGTGGCGGGCGACATTCTGGCGCTGGAGAAGCCCAAGGCGTCGTGGGCGGAGCACTTTGCGCATCCAGCGTGGTCTGGTGATCCGGCCAAGCCTACGCTGCCTGTGCCGTGGAGCAAGGACATGCTGACGCCGCTGGGCCGGGCGCCGGCGCGCAAGGGTCTCATCACGGCGCTTCCTACGGTCGAGTCGTCCTACTCGTACTTTACCAGCAAGGGTGTTTCGTCGTACACGCACGCGGATGCTCCGGCGCTCATCACGACGATTACGATTCTCAACGCCATGGAGTCGTATCTGTGGCGCTACATCCGCGGTGCTGGTCTGGCGTACGGTGCGAGCATCGTGTCGAACCCCGAGAGCGAGCTGATCCACTTCAGCCTGTACCGCTCGCCCGACTCGGCCAAGGCGTTTGTCGAGGCGCGCAAGGTGATTCGTGCGCTTTGCGGCGAGTCCACCAAGACGGCGGATGGGGAGGAGGAGTTGGTGCTCGAGATTGACGAGACCACGCTCGAGTCGGCCAAGAGCTCGCTGCACTTCAACATTGCTGAGGCGGAAGGCACGGTGTCCGGTGCGGCGCAGGAGAGCTTCTTTGACCAGGTGCTCAAGCAGGCGCCCAAGCATCGCGGTAAGCTGCTACTGTCGGCGGTGCAGAAGGTGACGCTCGACGACGTGAGGCGCTCGTTGAGGCAGTACATCCTGCCGCTCTTTGATCCGGCCCACAGCGTGGTGGCTGTCGTCGCGCCCGCAAGCAAGGTCGAGGAGATCGAATCCCAGCTCGAGCAGGTCGGATTCCAGATGGAACGCACCCACATTGATCTGGGCAAGGACGACGACGAGAGCGGCAGCGAGTCGGGCAGCGAGTCTGGCAGCGAGAGCGGAAGCGATGCGAGCGAAGAGAGCGACGATGAGGGCGCTCGCCGCTAGTCCGCGCACATGTTCGCATTTGTTTCCTCCTAGACTTGTCTCGAGCAATCTCAGATTCACCTCAACTGTTGCGCGTGTCCATCTCTCTTCCCTGTGTGTGCAAAATCCGCGCGATGTGCACTGAGTTCCACATCCGTAGCTGTTTGGTTTTCAACACTTGCAATTGAACCGACGGTCTTCATCCTCGAGTCTTAAAACAATCGGAGGATTAGATGAAGAGGAGGGCGAGGGTGGAGATGGCGGTGGCGCCCATGACGACGTAGGCGGTGGAGTAGACGCCCTTGAGGGTGAGTGCGTAGCCCCAGTCCCAAGCGAGGTGGCGAAGACCGTTGAGGCTGTGGAAGCTAAACGCAAGGGCGAGGGGGACCTTGACGGCGGTCTTGAACCACACGGGGAGCGTTGCGACAAAGTCGGTCAGGCTTGCACTCGAAAGCGCCTCTGCCGAACCGAAGAGCGGGTATCCCGCATAAGCAGCAAAGTATGCATACAGAACTGTAGCCCAAGATCAAACCCAATCAAAGTCGTTTCAGTAAGTTGAGATCGCGGGTGGGTTGTTTTGGGGAGGTTGAAGAAAGGGGGGGGGGGGGGGGGGATACTCACGGACGGAGAGGCCGGTGCCGGTGATACGGTTGATGATGGAGAGGTACCAGGTGATTTGGGGCTGGTAGATGGTAAAGTGAGGGCTGGAGGGGCGCTTGGCACGCTGTTCGTTGAGCAGGTCCAGGTTCTGCTGCTGGGAGAGCTTGGTGGTAGGGGCCGAGGTCGAGGTGCTAGCCATGCGCGAGAAGCGAGGAAGCGCCGATCGGACCGGAGCGATGCACGCAGCACGCAGGCCAAGACGGCTCACCGAAGCCGACGATCGTCCGAGCCCAAGCGAAAGAAGAGGTCGTGTAGCAAGCATGGCGAATACGAAAAGGGTGATGGTGGATGGTGATCAGCAACCTTGAAACCCAAACCGGGCTTCCCAACTCCCTGGCGTGTGGGACGCTCTCCTCTCGCTTCCGCCAACGGATAGCGCGGGGTCACACGGAAAAGATCGGCTCGCCGCGTCCTCTCTGCTCGACTGCAAGCCAGCGCGCGTGCCAACCCAGCTCTCCACTTAGCCCCGCTCGCTGCCGCGCGAGCCATTTGTAATCGCCCATTTTTATCCACTCCTTTTCTCGCACGGAAGAACCCATCCACCCATAAGCCTCTCCACCATCCTACGCCGCATACAACTGTCACACAACCCTTCAATGCGCTTGCCGGTCACAGACAGAATGATGGCAATCTCGATTCGTATTCCCAGCTGGCATCCGTAACGGAAGCGCGCATCAAACAGAAAACAGGCACCACCAACAGCACGAAACACAGAGTCAAAAAGGGCGAGCTGCATTGCACTTGCCCGACGTACGCATCGCCCCCGGGTATCTTTGGATTAGAGGAAGAACGAGGTGCGCACGGCGGTGTGCAGACAGCAGTCATTGGGCCGCGACTGAGCAGTTGGGCTCGTCCGCGTTGCAACGCGCGCTCAGGCACGGGCGCCGTGGATCTGGGCAGCCTGGCGCGAACGAGCCTGGTCGTTGACGGTCTTCTGGTTGCGCAGCTCGTCAATGTGCTTCTTGGCCTTTTCGTAGCCCTCGCGCGTGCTCTCGGTGTGGCGCTTCTTGATGTCGAGCTCCTCGACCGCCTTGGCGAGCTCGGCGGCGTACTTCTCGTGCTCGGCCTGCGCCTTGTTGAGCGCCTTGGCCGCCTTGTGCTCGTTGGTCGTCGCCTTCTGGTGGCGCTTGATCGACTGCTGCTCGGCGTCGCGCGACTTGCGGAAGAGCTTCTCGGACGACGCCGCGTCCTTGATGGCGCGCTTGAGCGACTTGTGCTCGTTCTTCGCCTCCGTCTTCATCAGCTTGTCCATCTTCTTGATCTCCTTGGGGCTCAGCGCCGACTTGGGCGCCTCGGTCGCGGCCACGGTCGTGGGTGCCGGGTGGGCCACAATGGCACCAGCGCCAGCAGCACCAGCAGCAGCGGCACCAGCAGCGGCGGGGGCGACCGCATTAAGCTGCTGAGGCTGCTGGGCAGCCACGGGGGCGGCCTGGGGCTGGACAGGGGCCTGACCGGCGGAAACGGGCGAGGTAGCGCTGATCACGCTGCCGGGAGCCGTTCCGGGGGCAGTGCCAGCTGCGCTGAGAGCCGAAGGGGCAGCCGAAGCAGGAGCGCCGGCACCAGCAGCAGGCACGGCGGTGTTGATGTGCGTGGGCTGGAGCGCCGCCTCGCTGGGCTGGATGGGCTGGATCGGAGTGGTCTGGGGCTGGACCAGGCCAGGAGCAGCCGCAGCGCCAGCCGCAGCAGCAGCAGGCACGGCAGCTGCGGAGGGAGCGGGCTCGGCAGCAGCAGGCGCGAGAGGCGCAGACTTGGGCACGGTGGCAGGCACAGCGACCCCCGTGGCCACCGAGGGGTCGGCGCTGTGGTTGACAGCGATGGCGCCCGTGCCGGCGCTGAGCTCCGAAGCCTGGGTTGCGTGACCGTTGGAAATCTGCGAGGCCTGGGGAGAGGTGATCGAGGGGTCGACGGCGGGAGCCGCACCGCCGTCGGTGGCGGTGCCGGGGACAGCAGCAGCACCGTTGACACCCTGGGGCGGGTGGATGGCCTTGATCTCGGCGACGAGGACCGAGCCGTTGCGAGAGAGGTCAGTCATCTTGAAGCGTGGATAGGTGACGATGAAGGTTCTAGGCGGTATCTAGATGCCGAGAAGGGGGTTGCTGGGTATCAAACTTGAGGGGTGTGTAGGGATGATGGATGTGGTTGGGAGGCAAGAGCAGGCGTGCTGGATTTGAGCTTGGATAGAGGGAGAGCTGGCGGATGGATCCGACAGGGAGGGCAGAGCGAGCTGGTGCGTAATCGAGCTGAGGGACGGCACGCCAATGCCGTCGATAGAAGCTCGCCGAAATGCGCTCATCAGGCAGCCATCCAGAACGGCACGCTCGGGCTGGGCTCCAAATGGTTCAATCGCAGATGCGAGCCGACACGCTTCAGCCCAGCTTTCAGCCGATCTTTGTTGGCTCGTTGCTAGCTCGCTATAAGGTGAGGGCGGGCCATCGACCCAGCGGGCAAAGCAGGGCCTGGACGCCCGAGTGAAAGTGCCGTTTCTTAGCGCATGCACTCCACCTCGCAACCTCCGCAGAGCCGTTTGCGGATATGTAAGAAAAAAACTGGCTTGCAGAGCGCAGCCTCCCCTCCTGGTCATGGCTTGGCGCGGTCTCTGGGCTTGTGCAGCGCCGCGTCCTATTTTTGGCGGAGTTGGCAGGCCCTCTCCCTCTCCATGCACAGCGGGCAATCAGCAGCAGCACAGACCGGAATGCTACGCAGCTCGATCAAACTCCGTCTGGATTCCGCCTTCTCTCGTTCCTCTCTCTTTCACTTCTTTCAACAAACTTGTGAAGGATGGCGAGAAGGTCAACATCACAGTTGCGATTGATGACGATCGACTGACTGGGCGTAAGCGTGCCAGATGTGCTAAAGAAGCTGAGAAGCCGCGAAATTTGAGTTCAAGCTGGGCCCGAACCGGCGCGGTGGCGTGACGTCGTAGGATCTGCTCGGTGCATGAGCAACTCTGAAAAAGAGCCGATTTGGGCTAGCACCGATTCCAGACCCACGATCGCATCTTTTCGGCCTTCTTGGCTGTCTCCGTCTAGGTTTCCGTATCGGTCCCAACGGTCGGCAGCTGTCGGACGTACCGATGCTGTCGAGTGGCAATACCAACGCTCCTTCCGAATACGAGCTCAAGTCTCGAATGGCAGCTTATCGATGGCATGTCTCTTCGGCCATTCCGACGTCTCTATTGTCCTGCTAGGAGAAGGATCAAAAATAGCTTGGCCCGCTGCAGCGTTGTTCAGAAGCTCACGCCGACGCGGGGGTGGCCGCTGCACGGCAAGCCCAACGTTCTGACGACGTCTTCTCTTGCAGCTGCGCGCCCTGCCATCCCGACCCTCGCTTCGTCCCTGAATCCCCACCAACTCTCGCTTTGGCTTCATCTGTCGGCACCACTCCGCTCGTCCATATCTGAGACAGACCCTGCCATTGACATCTGCTTGACAGACCCCGAAGCCGAAATGCTTCACCCGCCTCACCCAACCACACTCCAGGCAACCCTTGGCCGATCATAGACCCTTGTTTTGCTGTTCCATTGGACGTGTTCCTGAGATAACTACAGTAGGAAGCGCCACTTCTTGGCTTGCTCTTCCGCTTTCGCTTTCCGCGACGCTGCCTTCTTGCCGAGTCGCTTCTTGACAGCGGCAGCATGACGCCGAGCGAGGTGCACCCTTTTCTTGGCAAGCCTGGCTCGCTTCGCCATCACCAGCGTCTTGCGGTCAAACTTCATGGCCGCCCGCGCAGCATCGCGCTCGAACCCCTCGAAAATCATGGCCGCCTGTGTGTTCAAGGCATCCTCGAAGCCCGAGCCATCGTACGCTTCCGACGCTTGCGCTGCCCTTTTCCCTTGCCACGCGAGCTTCAGCACTCTCCGCTCCATGTGCGCTGCCGCAAGCAGCTCGTTGACCTCCATGCGCCGTTCCGACCGCCGCAGGCGCGCAACGCGCCGCCGGTAGATCATCACGCTCACCGCCGTAGGCTGCACCGGCTTGTATCGCGGCAGCGGCGGATTGAAGATCGTCGGCGGCAGCAACGCTCCCGAGTGGTGCGCGATGCGCTTCGGAAACTTCTTGGCGTGCAGCTTGGCCTCCCAGTATTCGTTCCACGACTGCTCGTGTCTCCGCTGCGCCAGCTTCTCTTCCCGCGCCGCGAGTGTCGACTTCGCCGTCGCATCGCCGTTTTGCGCAAGCGTGAGCACTGAGAGCAGTTCGTGCGCTCGACGCATCTGATCCGCCGTCTTCACCTCGGACGTCATCGCCCTGTTCTTGCGCATCACCCGCTTGATCTCCCGCCGCAGCTCGGGATGCGTCGGCGGACATCGCTGCAACAGAGGACGATACAGCTGCCACAGCACGCTTTGTCGATGCGACGCCTCTCTGAAGAACGGCGTTCGCTTCTTCACGCGACGCTTCGGCAGAAACATACTCAGAGAGAGCGAATCGAACTCTGGCTCGGCGTCGACTCCCTGAGCTTCGCTGCTGGCTGCTTCGCGACGTGCAGGCGCAAAGGTGCAGAAGCCCGGCTTGGTCGGCACCGTGTGGGTCGAAAGGCTGCCCTTGGCGCCAGCCGCAGCTGGTCTTGCGCCGCCCGTTGAGCGAACGCTAGAAGCCTGGCTACCTGAACCTGTCCGTCTACGAGCGGGTTTCTTCGCTTCGGCTGCTGCGTCTTCCGCACAGGTCTGGATCCAATCGTCTCGGTCGAACACGGCCGACGTGCTTCTCGATCGCCTCGAGGCTGCGGGAGACAAAGCGGTAGCCGATCGACTCTTTTCGGATGCGGTTGCACGCGTGCGAGGAATACGAACCGGCGTGGCGGAGCGTTCCGGCGACTGCTCCGTCATCTTTGCGCGCGCTTCGAGCGCGCGGATCTCAGCCAACTCCTTGGAGGCCTGTGCCTGTAAGAAGTACAGACCGCGCTCCCCGAGCGAGCGATGCACTTGTGTCGACGGCACGTACGACGGCGAAGATTCCGCATGCGTGGCTGGAGTATTCGGCCTCTCCGAGTCATCGCGCAAGCTGGTCATCCCGTCCAGTAGAAGGGAACCCTTGGTTTCCTCCAAGATCTTCTCGATGTCGAGAGCGACGCCGACTGGGATGGCATCGGGGTGCGAAGGCGTCACGCACGGGTCATCCGCCTCCTTTCGCAACACCTTGTCGATGTCCACCTGAGCGAAGAACGCACACCCCAGCGGGAGGTCGTCCATCTGCAGCTTGAAGGCGAACATGGCGCGGGTCCAGATATTGGCGATCTGCAACGCCAAAGCGGCGCGGTATTTGTCCTCGTCCTTGACCAGGTATCGCACCTCGTCATGCACCGAGAGCATGAATCTGGCGTCGATGCTGTAGCGCTTGGTCAGCCACTCCATGGCAGTGATGAGCAGGTGCAGATAGTCGACGCCGCTGCTCTGCACGACCCAGTTGATCCGGCTCGGCATGTACTCCTCCGACATGCGGCCGTTGCCGAAATCGACCTTGCCCAAAAACTTTTTGGTGAGGGCCGTGGTGACGCCACAGTCGAGCGCGGGAGTCTTGGGATTGTCCGACAGCGCGATGCTTTCGAGCTTGTTGAAGACGAAACTCTCGGTGCCGCCGAACCAGAACTTTGCGCCGAAGAGCTCATCCGAATGCGTGTTCTGACCCTTGGTGGCCATGTAGAGCTCCTTGGCCTTCTGCGTGGCATCCTCGTTCGTCACGCTCGGGTTTGCCTTGAGCAGCAGGTGGGTGGCGTGCTTGATGCCCGCGCCGTAGATGCGCGAGTAATTGAACACTTTCGCCTGGTTGCGGCTGGTACCAAGGATCGAGGCGGTCTTAGAGTGCAGATCGGTGCCGAGCGCCTTGGTGCCTTCGAGCGTCATCCAACCAACCGCGGTTGCACCGTGGATGCCAAACTGGGCATCACCCATGACACTGCAGATCCAGAGCTCCTCCGAATCTACATCTGCGCCCACGAGGCTGTAGCCTGGAGGCGCCTTGACCATGGCCTTGAGCTCCGAACCGACTCGGTTCTTCTTGGCATTGCTCGCCGTCAGCCAGGTGTTCTCGATGGCACGTCGCGTGACCGTGCCCATGCTGACCACCTGCGGCAGGATGAGACCCTTTCGACGCGCTGCTTCGCCCGCCTTGTCTTGGCGCGCACCGGAAGCGCCTTCGGGGTACTTCATGGCGGTACCTGCTTGGCCGTCCCACACGACCATCTGCTTGTGCACACGATCGCGCACCGCAATCCAGTAGCTGCACTGCGCGTTGAGATCCAACGCGGTTTTGGCTGCGGCACGCCCCACCTCGTCCGGATGCTGGCTCTGCAGCGTGCCGTCCTCAAAGTATGCGATGAAAGACTTGGCGAATGGACTGCCGACATTGGCTTCCTCTCCCTCGCTGTGCGGGACCTTGTAGAAGGTCGAGTTGCCATACGCCTCGACCACCAGAGCAGGCGTGCCGCTAGCCTTGGATGCGCCCTTGCCCTTCGGCTTGCCCTTTTTGCTCTTGGAACCCTTGACTTCCACGGGAGCAGCGAGATGCTGCATCAGACCGTCGGCTGACATTCCAAAGGCAAGGGGCGTCTGTCGTGTCACGAGCTCCTGGTCGGTAGCGTCGTGCCGGAAGACCCAACCGTGTTCGCGGCTGCGGTAGAGCGGGCACCCTCGCCACGAGATCTTGAGCAGAACGGGGGCGATGGAGGAACGGATGGTGACCTGCAGCTCGCCCGTGGCGCTTTTGTACAGGTCCCAATACCACTTTGGCCACCATGCGGGCTCTGCGATAGAAGCCAAGGCTCCGTCAACTTCTCCATCCGATTCCGAGGAACTTTCCTTGTTGCGTTGCAGTTCCCGTACCTCTTCGAGGCGAATGTCCTTGAGCGACCAGTCGAGCTGAGCAAGTTGGGCGTCTGCTTGAACTTCTGCGTCGGAAAGGTCCTTAATGGAATCGGCAAGCGCTCGCAACTGGCCTGCAGTTTCATCGGTAAGGGAAGTATCGCGCGACAGGATCGCAGAGAGAACCGCCTCGCCGGCAGGGCCTGCGCCGCTCGACATCTGTTCTCCGTACTTCTTCAGGGCGGTCGCGGCAAAAAGATTGCTTCCCACTAGCGGCGTTCCGTCTTCGAGCATCCATCCGCGCGACTCGCTGCGCAAGACAGGTTTGCCGTCGATGCGCAAGCGCAACAGCTGCTGAGCAGTCACGCTCTTCGGCCCGAAGCCATCCTTGGTCTTGTTGCGAAGGACGCTGTCACGGAACCAGGTCGGCACAGAAAAGTCGGAGCGCGGGGCATCCGCATCACTGCCGTCGGCCACCTTGGCCTTTTTCGGTTTCTTGGGCGTCCAATCGAGCTGCGAGTACCATGCATCGTCCTCCCACCAAGCTCGCGCGCGGTTCGGATCGGGAAAGACCGGCTCGAATCGCTCTGGGTCCGTCATCATCTGTCTTTCCTCGGCGATCTTGGCGGCGAGGCTCCATGGCACGTCGCGGGTGCCCTCGTCGCGGAGCTTTTCGGCGAGCTCGACGAGACACTTCTGCACCTGGTCATTGATGCGATTGAACTGCTCGTCGCACCTTTGCTGGTAGTCGATCCACTCGTCATCGACGGGGAGGAAGGTGGAGCCGAGGCCGAACACACCTGCCATGGTTGCCGGATGCGGGCAGCGGGCGACGAAGTCGGGCCATGTGCGGCGGAAGATCTCGTGTGTGACGGCGACGTCGGAGGCACAGTAGCTGAGAAGATGCTGGACGTCTTGAAGGATCTCTTGGCGCGATGCGCTATCGACGAAGACGTTGCGCGCCGATTTGGCGACCTTCATGGGGATACGGTGTAAGCGCGCCACGTCGGCGAGCGAATTCTTGGACGTCTCTTCGAGCCACTGTGATTCTGAGGAGCTGGGCTGGGAGACACGAGAGGCGAGACCGCCGCTCTCGTCATCACTGAAAGGCATGTCGAGCGTCGAGGGAGAAGGAGTGGTGCCGCTGGTGTCGACCGCGGTCGAGTCCGTGGCGGAAGTGCTGGAAGAGACTTGTTCGGCGTCCATGGCGAGAGCCTCGAGCTTGAGACCTTCAAGCTGGTCCGAGTCATACTCGAGACCCGAGAGAGCATTTTCGATGGCCCGGCGAGTCTCTTCCTTGAGCGCGGCCTGCTCGAGCAGCTTTTTGGCGCGTTTCTCGGCTTTTGCCTTGTTGTGCTTCATCCACGCGGGGCGTTGTGGCGACGAGATGCCTCGAGTCGCAACGTGGAGCGACATGGTGTCGAGCCATCGGGTGGATCCGAGCTCGAGCGTGTATTCCTCAAGCGTCCTTGCGCGGTCGTACGAGACGTTGTGGCCGACAACAAGGCGCGGCGGATCGTCTTTGCTGCTAGGTCCCATGGGGATGAGATGGTCGCTGCGTTCATGTCCGTCGCCGCGACCGACGAGCCAGGGAGACAGCCAACTGTACCAAGCGTTAGGGCTGGCGGCGGTAGCCATAACCGGGAACGGGCCTTCCTGCACCATGGTTTCGACATCAAAGACGAGCATGTCATCTTCTGGATCCGGATGAGGGACACTGACGCCCGGTCCAAGCGCGACGGCCGAATTGTCTTTGGAGCGCAGGATGGGGTACTTTGTCCAGCCAGGCTCGATTGACCAGGTGACGGGTTTGAGATGGCCGGAGGTGCGGAGCGCCGGATCGAGTTCGAGCCACTCTGCAGCTTCGAAGCGGAAGTCCTCGGCAGCCGGTTTGGCTGAGCTTGTCTCCTCGAGCTCTTCGGGCGGGTTGGTGGGCTTGATGAGCGAGAGTCGTGTGGCCATGCTGAGCCAAGGTTGTGCGACCTCTCTACCGATTGTCCAAAAGTGCTCAGCAAGGTCCTTTCCTTGGAGTGGCGGCAGATCGAAAGCAGTCTGTGGCAAGGTGGAGGCATCTGACGCCTTGAGACCATGCTGCCTCAGATGGTCGCGACAGATGTTGAGTGCCTTTGGGGCGATGGGCGGCACTGGATCCATGGTTGAAGGGAAGAGCTGTTCATGCAACCTTCGCGGAAGCAGTTGAACGCCGACTTCATTGCGTGGAATCTCCAAGGGGAGTGATGCTGATGCTTTGGCGTTTGGTTTCGGTGGGACAGGGCTCTGCTTTGCTATTGGTGGTGGCGGTGGTGGCTTTGACGTGTGGTTCGCAGCTGGATGGTCGACAGGGGTGGCAGCGTGCCATCGCCTTTGTTGACTGTGCAGCTGTGGCACCGATATTGGTTGTGATTTGATATGGGTGGTGGTGTTGGCAGAGACCAGCGCTCTAGCCCATGAGCTGGCTGGTCGGCTGCTGGTGCGCAGCATGGACGATACCGTCATCTCGACCGTCGGTGAGCGTCTAGCGAATCCATGGGCGGATGGTGGGGAGGGATGTGTTGGTGTGATGGCTCAGACCCATCGTGGCCGAAAGTAAAGTGGAGCGAGGCTGTTGTTTATAGGCATGGAAGGAGGGAGCGAAGAGCCGTATGAGGTTCGCCGTTTGTGGATGACAGTGGTCAGCCGACGGTCGCGCGCGAAGAAGCGGTTGGGAATTCGGGCTTCTCCACAACGAAGCCCTTTTTGGCAGGAGGCTGAGTGAGAGGCGTTGCTGCGGTGCAGAATTTCGCCGATCTCAGGGTCCACTGCAGCCGGCTTGCTTGAAATTAGCTGCCAGGCCAGCGAGCCAGAAGAAGCTTTGGCCAACGCCGTCCATCACCAACAGCCACATATTCACCACCACAGCCTCTGGATCGCAGTCACACACTTGCAGCTGCGCCTCGTCTGATCCGGTGCGGCACTCATGCGCAGCGAGCCAGAAGATGCTCGCGGATGCCGAGTCGCCGTCGGAAGGCAGCCGGACCATCGCGGCGATCGAGTCGGAGTATCCGACGCCTCCGGAGCTCAGCATTGCTGCGTGGCGCCGTCGTATCTCTGAGCAGACAGAAGTGTCATCGCCTCACCTTCTGGCCCGGCTCGACAGGCCTGCACTGCACGCATCCTCACCAGCGGAGGGGCCGCGGCCGTCATCGTCGGAAAGACCCCGCTGCGACTTTTACCGCCGAGCCAGCTGGGCGCCCGACGGCTCTGTGCTCTTGGCCATCACAGAGTCACAACGAAATCACATCCTTGGATGCTATCCCTCGAAAGCGGATGACCCGAGGCCGAGCACCAACGTCGATGGCTGCCGAGGTGCGGTGGAGTTGCTGGGCGAGACGAAGGGCCCATCGCCTCTCCTCGACGCGATCTGGTATCCAGTACCAGCATTGGACTCTGCACACGGCACCGCCGAGGAGCATGGGACTGGTCAGACAGAAGCAGCTGCGGTCGGGGCGACGCCGACCATGACGTGGTGCTTTGCTGAATCGCATCGGGACCTTCCGACTCGACTCACGGCGAGCAGCACCGGCGAGGCGCGCGCGAGCTACTCGATCATGAACCACGTTGAGCGATTCGTCGGTCCGCACGCGCTTGCCTTCAGCCCTGATCTCTCGCGGCTCTACTGTGGCCTGTGGTCTGCTCTGGCTGCCTTTCCACTATCGCGGCCGGGTCTCAACACGCATTCGTCCCTGCCGCTCGTCGCAGGCAAGCGCTCCCGAGGCGGCCAGCGCGGCATCATATCTGCGCTCACAACAGCGCCCGATCCAGCCAACCCTGCACACGATCTCGTGGCCGCAGCAACCTTCAGCGGCAGTGTGGGCATCTACGACTTTGATCCCACCGCGTTTCCCGAGCCTGCCGAACACACGGCCAGGCATGACGAGGACATGCTCGCGCAAACATCGTGTCTGGCGGGGTGGAGCGAGATCGAAGGCGATGGCATCACGCAACTCAGGTTTCATCCGCTCACCCCGTATGTGCTCTTTGTGGCGTCACGCCGCTCGAACCATATCTACGTATATGACATTCGCTATCTGATGGGCGATTCGGCAAGGTGGAATTTTCGCCCCCTGAGCCAGCCAGCGCCGGGCGTGCGATCGGCACATTTGCTCGCCAAGCTGCACAGACCCGCAGGAGCCAGTGCACAGAGACTCTACTTTGACATCGACTGGGCAGGCCGTTGGCTGGCTTCGGGAGATGACGAAGGTGCGATCCATCTCTGGCGCATCGACACCGGCCGCTTCAGCGACTCGGACGACGCAGCTGGCCAGGCTGAAATCAAACCAGACTTGAGCTGGATGGCACACCAAGGTATGTCGTGCAGTGAAGTGCGAGGGCAAAGTCTTGAGAGAGAGCTAATCATCCCTTTTGCTGTTCGATGCAGATGCGGTCGGGTCTGTGTCGTTCCATCCTCACCAGCCGTGGCTGGCGTCCGTATCGGGATCGCGGCATTGGCCGGAGGATGGAGAAAGCGGCAGCAGTGAGTCTGATCGAGACTCGTCGAATTCCGACTCTGGAGTGGCCTCGGATTCGTCCGCTGGCTCGGGCCGCTTGCGCGCATGGCAGACGCGCGACAGCTCCCTCAAGATTTGGGACTTTTCCGACCCAGACGTCCAAGCAATCTAGGTCGTTGTCGTGATGCTGCGATCGAGTGCTTGCGAAACTAGCCCTTGAACTTGCGTCCGCTCTTGACGTCGGCGCGCTTGATCTTGTTGGTCTTTTTGCGGCGCGCCTCTGCCTGCTGCAGCCTCTTGACGCGATCCCGCTGTTCCTGGCTCGTTTCGCCCACGAGGCCGTCCTGGGCGAGCTCGAGGATGTGGGCATGCATCTTGTCCAGTGCGTCCTGCACGTTGGCCTCCTGGGTGCGGTGGCGCATGCTCGTCACCAGCATCGAGTGGTCCGACGCAACGTAGTACGGCGAGCCCTTGGCGATGCGGCTGACGATATCCCTCGTGAGCCACTTGCGTGGGTGTGCAGCGTCGAGTGACTCGTGTGCATGCGCGCCTGCCTGCGAGAGGTCGAGACGAACATTGGCTTTGGTGTTGAGCTTGTTGACGTTCTGACCGCCCGGTCCGGACGAGCGCGAAAAGGTGACGTCCAGGTCGTTGCGCCGCAGCTGGATCGGCTCAAACGCGGATACCCAGCGCCGTCGAGCCTCCATTTCGTCGTCGGATCCATCGGCGTTGCGACATGGCACAGTGCTCCCAAAAGCGCGTGCTGCTACGAGGAATGCAGGCAAAGTCTTTGCTTGCTCCACGGGCTGAGCGATGCCGAGAGCCCGCCTGGCCATGCACATTGAGCGCGACGGTGACGCCAGCATGATCGAGCGCACCAGATGCCCGCGACCACTCATCTTGCGCCTTTGCCCCCACTGAGAATGTTGTGCAAGTCGTCAGGCTGTGGTGAAGCGGGCGACGCCGCAAGCTTGGTGGAGGAGAGCGAAAAAGTAAAGTCCAAAAAAAGTCGAGAAGAAGTCACCGGAAAACGCGCCGATGCAAAGCCGGAAGACGAAGAACACTCGGTCCTTCTTGCCTTCCACCCTTGCCTAGTGCCCTCGAGCCAAACTTGCGGCCATCATGCATGTGATGTGATGTGATGTGATGTGATGTGGCTGGCGGTGTCCATCGAAGAGGCCAAAAAGACAAAAACAAAAAAAGAACTGCAGCACCTAGGATTCCCGCGTGGTCCCCCACCGCAGTACTGACTAGGCGATACCTTGCTTAACTTCGCAGATCGGACGGGAT